CTATGTGGGGCAGAAGCCCTTGAGCGACCTTTCCCATCGGCGGGCTTTGGCGGGTCGGGGCTAGAGTTCCCGCAGGTGGTCCCAATCCTGAGCCCCGCCTCCACATCTGGTTCCAGTCCCGGCCCCACCTCAAAGATAGGTGTGGCCTGATTGGTGGAAGACGCCGCGCCCTTGGAGGGCGTGTCCGGGGCGGGGACGCGCGGTCGCCCCGCCCCTCGAGACACCACCCTTCTTCAGTCTCCGCCCCCCACATCGGCGGGCCCAGCCGGCAGCCGGGGAGCGCGCAGGATGCGCGGGGCGCCCGCGACCCTCCGCGGCAGGGCGAGGCCCCGGGGGCGGACCGTGAGCGCTACGTCCGCCCCGGGGAACCGCACAGGTGAGGTTGGGGGCCACAGGGTCCCGAGGTGGGGCTCTGTTCCCTTTTCACAGACGGGGAAGCCGAGGGGCGAGGGAAGCGCTGCGGGGCTGCACGGCTGGGGCGGAGGGGCGCGGGAGTCACTTAGCCGACGGCCTCTCCGAGGACGCACCTTCCCGCTCTCCCACCGGCCGGCGGGAGCCCCAGCGGGTCCAAAGCCTGGCGGCGAGTGGTTGGAAACAGGCGGCGGCCGTCGGCTACCTGCCCCGGGTCGGCACACGTGTTCCCCTACGGTGTCGCTCCGTGGTCCCAGACGCCTGCGGAAATTCGACCTGGCCTCACCTGACGGGGCGCGCAGCCCAAGGGGCGGGAAGGACTAGCCGGGGCGCCGTCTCCGCGCCGGGAGGGTGTTATCTCCGGCGTTCCTGGGGTGGCCACTCCCGCTCCTCTTCACCAGTGGGGAAACCGAGCCTGAGACGCGAATGGCCACCCGAGGTCATCCAGCAGCGCGGCCAGGGATTGGCCTGGGCTCAGAGGCCCAGAGGTCTCTGGAAGGAAGGAAGCCAAAGTGTTTTAAAGTGTTTCTTGAAGAATGTGCTAAAGGAGTTTCACCTTCCGTGCACAAGGCACTGGGTTCGAATGGGATCTTTGCTCCCGGGATGCTTCTAAAGTCTAACCCTTTCAGAAGTATCACCAAACCGGAACCCTGTTATCTCTGATGTTCCCAAACCTCACTTCAGTGGCCACTACCCATCAGGGCTGGACCTGAGGGTCTTGGGCAGTTCAGGCTGGGGCTGGGTTTTGCCGCTTCCTAAGCGGAGGTTTGGAGTTGGGGGTGGGGGTCTGGTTCCTGCTGTGCATTCAAGAGAAGGCTTGCATCTGGGCCTCCTGGGTTTGGTTTAAATACCCACAGTCCCTAATTTGGAGCCCTAACCGCTTGGAGGAGTAGGAATCTAGGGCAAGGAGAGGTGGTGGGACTTACCCAAGGTCAGCCCAAGGCAGGGAGTGGCTGGAGATCTGATACATTTGCACACAAAAGGCTACTTGCTAAGAAAATCAGAAGGGGGTCTCAGAGTTCCTCTCCTTTGTCTGGCCTGGCCCCAGTAAGCTGCCCTTGCAGCTTGGTCACCTCTAAGTCGCCTGTGGGTCCTGGACTCTGTGAGCACTTCCTGGACATGAATCCCCTTGCTGAGTTTGGGGTTTCTCTGACCTGGTTCTCTGCACTCCAGTTTCCCCACGTGCTGAGTGGTACAGACAGTACACCTGTCCCCAGGTTGTGGACAGGCGGAGTGGAATCGGGGCCTGAAGCTCCTTGTCCTCTTGGGGGTAAAGTGATGGCTTTACCTGATCTGAACTCTGTGGCTCTCTGCCATCAGCCTCTGGTGCTGTGAAATGGGCTGAGAAGTGAAGGGGTGGGGTTTGGGGTGTCGTGGAGATAGTTTAGCACTGTCTAAAACGGCATTTGGGGTGTATTTTCCCCCACAATCTGTAGAATGGGGCCATTACCATAGGCTTCCCAGAGTGGATAGGAAAGAGCAGAGTAGTCCGATGGCTTGGCGTCCTGAGGGTCTGTGGTCTTCCTACGGGTGGGGGAGGCTGGCTCCGAGTAGGGTTTATGAGTGTAAATGGCCAGCACCTGGCCCTGCTCCCGGGCAACGCCTGCACTCCCTGATCTGGGAGGTCGTCCAGGAACACAGAGTTCCGGTGGCTGAAGACGACCCCCCTGGCACTCCTGGAAGGGACTGTGAAAGTTCTGGAAAGAGAGATAGCAGGAGGCCCAATGGACAGATGAAGGTATGCTCCGGATAGTCCTCTTGGCTTTCCCGTATCGCCACAGAGCCAGGCTGTGCCCATTTTTACAGAGGAGAAACAGAGGCCCAGTGGGAGCCGGTGTGAATTAAAGTGAGGCTTTCCTAACCCTGAGACCTGGCTGTGGCCTCCTGCTAGGGTGCTGGCAGAGCTGCGGGGTAAGCGGCCTAGCTCCCTGGAGCCTCAACCTCCATCCCCAGGGATTTGGGGGGCACACCTTTCCTCAGTTGGATTCATCCTAGTTTTGTTCTGAAAGAGAGTGCACACTCTGGAGTGTGAAGCTCAGCCTGGGAGACCCAAGGCTTCAGGGGTTCTGAAGCCAGAGTCCACCCTCTATAGAGAGATGGGCTCAGAGAGGGCAAGTGACTTGCCTAAGGACACACAGCTGGGGTTGTGGACCTCCCACACTCAGTATTGGAGACACATGCTGTCCCTGCTGTTGGATTTTGGAGGTCTTGCTCTCAGAGGAAGACCAAGTTGTGCCTAAGCTGCCCTCTGAGCCCACTGAGTAATTTCTCCTGAGAAATCCCATTTTGCATTTGAAGAAACTGTATCCCAAACAAGGTCTCACTGGCAGGTGAGGATCCAAGTCCCACAGCCCCAAGGAGGCAAGGTCCAGTGGCCCACCTCTCCCCTCCCGATATCCCCACAGCCTCTGACAGCATCAAAGGAACTTATTAAGGGGCTGGGGATGTGGCTCAAGCGGTAATGCGCTCGCCTGGCACGAGTGCGGCCCGGGTTCGATCCTCAGCACCACATACAAAGATGTTGTGTCTGCTGAAATCTAAAAAAATAAATATTAAAAAATTCTCTCTCTCTCTCTTAAAAAAAAAAAGGAACTTATTAAAAAGGTCAGGTGTGGGGGCCTGTGGGCTCTAGAAAGGAGGACAGAGGAACTGGTCCATGGTCCAAGGTCCCAGATAAAAAATTAACAAGTAAGGATCTTTCCCAGATACCAGGCCAGTCTCTGGAGGCAGGGGGAGGAGAAGGCTGGGAGGATCCGGGCCCCACCCATGGCCGGCCACATGCCCCGTAGCTGCAGCCTATGGTTTGGGCAGAGGTGTCAGGTGGGGCTGAGGGCCCTTGTGGGCCAGGAGGGTGGCTCTGCTGTGTCCTTCCGTCTTCACCTCCATCCTCCGAGACATGAGAAGGCCAGGCTGGGCCTTGTGGGTTCTTGTCTTTTTGTTTGCATTAAACCCATACACTTCATTTTTTTCTGTTGTTTTTTTCTTCTTGAAGATTTACTTCCACATAGTGAAAAGGGGGGGTCTCAGGAGTGCCCGAGTGAAACTGTCCTAGAGCAGGACCCAGAGGGGGAGGGCTCAGAGGCAGGGACAAGCGAAGGACTGGGGGTACCTAGTATATAGTGTCCCGAAGGCTGTAGGTGCAGCAGAAGGATATCTGCCTCCGTGTGGCTCTGCTCCTCGGGTAGGTGAGTGCTTCCTCTTGGGCATGGGTTGTCTTCGGGGACAGCTGGGGAGGGAGCATCCCCTCAAAGGGCCTTGTTCTGGCATTTGGGCATTTTAAGTTGTGAGCAGGTAGGATTTGACCCTGAGGCACCAAGTGTAGTGAGAGGGCTGCAGGGGCTCAGGGCAGGGCGGCCCTGGGTCTGCAGGATGTGGGGTTCGGTGAGGGGTGGCTGCAGGTCTCTGGGCTGGGGTGGAAGTCAGGGGTGGCCCTGAGTCTGCAGGCTGAGTCAGGGGATCTCTCTGGGAGCTGGTCTCTGTTGTTTGGGGGTGAGGATTGAAGCCTTGGTGGCTTCTCAGAACATCTCTTGGAGGGGTACAAGCTTCATCAACCACTGTGCTTCCTGCCCACCCCGGCCTTTTTGCTCATGTCCTGAGAAAAGGGCCACCCCAAGGGGCCCAATGTCCAGACCCCCACCTTAGTGCTGCCGGTGCTGGTCTGGGAGTCTTGGACAGGGCTGTGGCCCCCTGTATCCTCATCTAGAAAATACGCTCAGCCCAGAGGAAGGATGTGTGGCCCTCCCAGGCCTAGGGGTGGGTACAGGAGACCCTGATGGGATCTGAGCCATGGGGATCCCTGGGGACCCTGGACTAAGGGGTGGAGGTCCCAGGGTAGCATGCACTTGGAGGGAGACCTGTGAGGTGAATGTCCCCCGAGTACCACGAGTTTGGTGCCCTGGGTCCCGGCATGAGCTGAGGTGCTTGGGATGTGATTCAAGTCCCCCGCTGGGCCATGATCTTGTGGGCCAGCCCCTGTCTCAGGCTCTCACAATGTGGTCCCTCCTGTGACACTGGAGGCAGATCACCCATTGTGCAGATGGGGAAACCTGAGGGAGGTGAGGAGTCCCTGCCCAGGTCCTAGTGCTGGAAAGTGACAGGTCAGCCTCAGACCCCAGGAGCCCGAGTGGGGAGAGAGGGTGGGAGGCTCAGAGGGGCAGTCCCGACTGGGACCTCTCACTGGCATCCAACAAGTGACTTTGCCTCCCTGCACCTGGCTTGGCAGATGGGTTCAAGGAAGTGGGCCTCTGGGCCTCCCTTCACAGGTAGAAGCCTCCCGGAGACACAGGGCCATGAATGAGGCTCATCCTGCTTCCTTTGACTGTAATTTCCCCCAAATGTCTCTGTTTTATTTTTAAGGGAAGAACCATTCCAACAATATGGCGAGGAGCTGGGGTGGTCTGCCTTGTGAGACCCGCCCCCGCCCCCTAGTTTGGCTGGCTAGAAAGACAGAGTCTGATGTCATGTTCAGGACCCTGACTGCATTTAAAGCCCCCTTCCCCTTCTGAGTCTCGTGGAGACGGCCTCCGTCACCCCTGCTGGGTACCAGCCCTCTCTGCCCACCCTGCATAGACAGTCACCGGGCCAGTGTGTCCAGCTCGGGCTTGGGTTCCAAACTGTTCTGTGCTTTTATTGAAGTCTTGAATTGGGAGATACATCCAGGGGTCTTACAAGTCTGCTAGTGCTGGCTGGTTCCCTTTCTTTTTTGTGGGTTGGTGACTTTACCTTCCAACCCTCCAGTTTGTGAGGCTCCGTGACGGGCGGATGTTCTGTCTTTCGAGATGTGTGGCCCCCGAGTTGTGGGTGGCTTGCCTTGTGAGATGTGCCCTAGGACAAGCACCTCCCCACAGCGGAACCCAGCACAGAGCACAGGATGTGGCTGTTGACAGAAGAAGCGAACCCAGTTGGGACATCTCGCGCCCCCCGCCTTCTCCCCACCGCACTGTCCACACCACTCTTTCTAAGACACTTAGGGGAAGTTGTTGGTTTCCTTGCTGGGGCCACAGCCATCTCGTCTAGGCCCTGCCCCACCTTGTCTGGTACGGCATTTTCATGTGGAGACGCAGACCCAGGGCAGGAAGTGACCAGGGTCCCCTAGCTGATAAGGCCTGACCCACCGTCAACCCAAGTCCTCTTGCTCCAGAGCTGGGCCTGGCTACCTTGGTTGCACGGGGGGCCCTGTACACCACATTCTTCTTGTAGGGTAGAAATTTCTGTTCCTGGACTTTTGGCAGTGGGTAGTGTGTCTGGGCCCAGGGTGTGGAGTAGGACAGCCACTCCTGCCCACCAGAGCCCTCGTGGTCAAGGGGGGCTCTACCGGGAGTGAGTTCCATGAGAGCAGGCTGCTTGACAATCCCCCACATCTTTAGTACTTTCCAACTGGCAGCAGAGGAGAAAGCGCCACTGTGCCCCTCCCTCTGTCCAGACCTCTCCATCACTTCCTTTCCTGGTTCTCTACTCCAAGCATTGTTTTTCCTGTAGGGCCTGGACTCTGTCCCCAGCCGCAGGCATGTGATTTTATTGTTTTATTTATTTTTGGTACCAGGAGTTAAACCCAGGGGCACTAAACCACGGGGCTACACCCCCCAGACCTTTTTTGTACATTTTTAGAGAGAGGGTCTCACTGAGTTGCTTAGGGCCTCGCTAAGTGGCTGAGGCTGGTTGTGATCCTCCTGCTTCAGCCTCCTGAGCCGCTGGGATGACAGGTGTGCACCACATGTTATTTTTCAGTGAAGTTCTGGATGAGTTCAAATCCAGCCATTCATCCTGCCCATTCATTGGGCAGACTGCCATGAGCGCTCTCCCCCTCTCGGATTCCCCTCCCTCAGATCCTCTTGTTGTGCCTACTCCCAAACATCTGGGGAGGCTGGGCCTCCTCTCCCTGGGGCCCAGCCACAGAAGAATGCAGAAGTTGCAGCTCTAAATTGAGGACTGGGAAGTGTTGAGTCCTGGGGAAGAGCCACATGACTGTGGCTGTATCTGCCATGGCTCCACAGTCCTGTGTCCACCTCCCTGGGCTGGCAGGATAGGATGCATCTAGATCACAGGATTCTCCTCCCTGGAGAGCTCCCATCACCACTGTTGTCTGTGAGGACAGCCTTCCTTCTGCACTGATGATGACACCAGGCCGGGAGATCAGGAAGAGCCCAGACTTGGAGTCAAGAGTTTGGATCTGAGGGCCTGTAAGGGTCAGCCCAGGGCTTCAGGAAATAGCCCGGGCCAGGGGTTTAGAGCTGAACCTGGCCCAGAGGGATACTCAGTGTCACTCTGATGTCGCCTCCTGCAGAGCAGTTCCTCAGGCTTTCCCTGCCCTGCACACCTGCCAAGGATTTGTGCACTCCTCCCCTTCAAGCCTCTGTAGCCTCCAGGTGTGGTGCACACCTGTAATCCCAGCAATTCAGGAGGCTGAGGCAGGAGGATCATCAGTTGAAAGCCAGCCTCAGCAACTTAGCAAGGCCCTAAGCAACTTGGCAAGACCCTGCCTAAAACTTAAAAAAAAATATAGGGATATGCTCAGTGGTTGAGCACCCCTGGATTCAATCCCCAGTACTAAAACGAAAACGGAAAACACCCAACAACAACGACACCTCATCAGCCTTGTGGCTTTCTTGTTTTCTTTCTTGCTTGCTTGCTTTTGTTTGTGGTGCTGGGAATTGAACCCTGGGCCTCAGTCATGCTAGACTCTCTACCACCAAGTTACATCCCCAGCCCCTTGTGGACTTTTAATACTGAACAAGATAAAAAGCAAAAAACAGGTCTTGAATGTGCATAAATGTTATTTCTTTTTTCAGTACTGGGGACGGAACCTGGGGCCTTGGCATGCTAGCTAGGCAAGCGCTCTACCCTTGAGCTACATTCCCAGCCTTTGCTCTTTATCAGCATGGTTTCCTCAGTATTTTAATAGTTTTATTGAGCTCTTCATATACCATATCATCCACCCATTTACATACAACTCAGTTCCTTTTAGATGTACACACATCACCTCAGTCAATTTTAGACTATTTTCACTACACTCAAAAAAGCCCTCGTTCTGGGCCTTTCATGTAAGTGGGAATCGTGCAATATGGCCTTGTGTGTCACACTTCTTTCACTTGCAACGCTTTCAGTGTTCAGCCATGTTGTACCATGTATTGGTGCTTCGTTTCTTTTTTTGATTGAGGCATATTCCCTAGTATAGCTGGACTATATTTGGTTTATCCATTTTTTTAGGTGACAGACATTTGGGCATTTCGACTTTGTGGCCATATTCATACTGCTGTATGCAAATGAGCCTTTGCATACAAGTTTTTGCATGGACATGTGTTTTCATTTCTCTCGGGTGTTTACCTCGGAGTAGAATTACTGGATTATATGGTAATCCTGTGTGTAACATCGAGAAACCACGAGACCATATATAGTAGTTGGCTTGGTGGATATGAAGTGGTACCCTGTTGTGGTTTTGATTTACATTTCCCTGAAGGCTAATGTTGAGAATTGTTTCATGTGCTTATTGGTGGCTTTGGTATATCTTCTTTAAGGAAATATCTGTTCAGATCCTTTGCTCATTTTAAAACTTTGTATTTTATCATTGAGATGTAATAATTTTTTATACTCGAGATGTATCTCTTCTCAGATATGTGATTTGCAGATATTTCCTCCCAATCAGGAGGTTGTCTCTTCACTTCATTGTTTTCTTTGCAGAACACTGTCTTTAATTTTTATGAAGTCCAGTTTTTTTTTCCTTGCATTGTTTTTTTTTTTTTTTGGTGTCATATCTAAGAACCATTGCCTAAAGTCACAAAAAAATGTACCCTAGGTTTTCTTTACGAGTTTTGTAGTTTTAGATCTTGCATTTAGGTTTTGATTCATTTTAAAGTTATTTTTTAGCATATGGTGTGAGGTAGGGGTCCCACTTCATTATTTGAATGAGAATATCCAGTTTGCCAAGCACTGATTATTGAAAAACTATTATTTTCCCATTTATTTTTGTCTTGGCACTGTTGGTGAAATCAAATGACTGTAAATGTGAGGGTTTATTTCAATTCTGCCGAACTGCTCTGTTGGTCTGTCCTTATAGTTTTGAAATTGAGAAGTGAGTCTTCCGACTTTGTTCCTTTTCAAGGTTGTTTTGGTTATTCTAGGGTCTTTTTTACATTTCCATATGAATATTCAGACCAGCTTGTCAATTTCCACGAAGATGGCAGCTGGATTCGGACAGGGGTTGTATTGAAACTGTAGTTTTGAGGGTATTACCATCTTAATAATATTCAGTCCATGAGTGTGGGATGTTTTTCCATTTATTTAGGTTTTCTTGAATGTCTTTCAACAATGTCTTGTGGTTTTCAGAGTCTAACTTGTGCTTCTTTTGTTAAATTAACTCCCACATAATTGTTTCTACTGCTTTTTTTTTTTTAAATGAAATTGTTTTCTTTCATTTTCAGTTTGCTCATTGCTACTTTACAGGAACACAACCAATTTTTCTATGTCAACCTTGAATCCTACAATGTTCCCTATTGGGATTGTTATGAGTGCTGCCTGAGGCAAGGAACGTGGGATGCTTTTTGAACACAGAATTCTGTGCAGACGTGTTGTTGATAGTAATGCCCATAACAAGCAAGGAACCATCAGATTGGTCCTGCCAGACGGGAAGCTCAGCCTTCCCTAGATACTGAAGGGACAGACAAGATGGCGGCTTCCAGTGACTGACTCTCAACTACGGCCGTTGACCCCTTGCTCAACCAGTGACTATGTGGCCTCGGTGTCATTGAACCTTGGTGTCTAGGGCTGTAAAATCAGATGGCATACCTTATTTCCAAAGATCCCCAGGGCTCCTGACCTGGTGTTCTGGGGATCTTGAAAAGGCCTCAGCATTTCGCCTCATTCCTTCCTTCTACCAGCCTGACGTGGGCAAGCAGCTGTGCCCACGAGGCCCAGGGGACTTCTTTATGTGGCCCTGCAGAACTCAGAGCCCCACAGTCTTGAGTTCACATGCTTGTCTCCCTAGCCACCAAAGCACTCAGCACGGGCCCCTGTCGGAGTACAATCTGGGTGTTATTTTGATGTTATTATCCCTGTCTCCTCAGAGACCTGGGTGGCCAGGCAAAGTCCCAGATACTCAACAGGGCACTGGGATAAACTCTTCCTAAAGCTTTGTTCAGGTTTTACCACAAAGATGGTGGCTTAACTCCAGCCAGAGTTTATTTCTGTCTCTTATTAGGATCCAGGAGGTTGGTCAACCCTTCCACACATCTCTGCTTCCCAGCCTGGAAGTGGCCATCGACACCCATACTTACATCCCATTGGCCAGGCACTGTCACATGGCTCCTTACAGCTGTAGGGCAGGCTGGGAAGTGTAGTATTCTATGGCAGCATTGTCCCCAGCTGCAACTGTGGGGTGAGGAGAAGGGACACTGGTGGGCAGCCATAGCCAGGGAGGGAAGCAATGGTTGAGGGTGCCCAGATCAAGCTGGAGTGGGCTCACTCAATGGATATGTGAGGTACCAATTCTACCCCTACTGTCCCCCTGCTCGGTGCCCTTGGGATGCCATTCAGCCTTGCTGTGCTTAGAAGGAGGAATTCTAGGGCTGTCATGCAAACTAGCATTCATTAGCATGCGGTGTCTGTGCTAATCCTGAACCAGGCTTCCACTGCTTCCCAGACAAAAGGCTCAATGGGACATGTGTGCCCGGCCCCCAGGGGATGGTCCTAGCTGGGGGCATCAGGCACAGGATAGGAGAAGGTCACAGCAGGTCAGCATGGAAGATGGGCCCCATCACCCTCCATTGCCCTGGCCTCCATCTCCATCACCCCATGTCTGGGTCTCTGTCCTTTTCTGCTTGAAGGGAGGCAGACAGGCACAAAGGTGCTCGGGTGGCCTTTGTCACAGGCTGCCTCTTCCGT